CCACAAGCGTACGATGTTGGGAGAGAGTTCACAAACTGGTGGAAAACTTTCCCAATCCATCACAGGTTACATTTAATAATTCCTTCATATGACAAGTTGGATCACTTGAGTGGACCCACACAAGTGGACTGCACAAGTGGTCTACAAATGGTCCACAAGCTTACGATGTTGGGACAGAGTTCACAAAGTAGTGGAAAACTTTACCATTCCATCACAGGTTACAATTAATAATTCCTCATATGACATGTTGGATCACACAAGTGGGCCACACAGCAAGTGAACCATATGAACCAAACACCAGCCAGAGTTGTCCACACAAGTGGACAACTGTTGTCTGTTTCTGTCGACTGTTTCCATGATTTTCATTCACCAATTTGTGGCACATGTATCTTAGCAAATTAGTTTAAAGGCCGGAGTGTGAATAGCTAGCTAATGTGTTGAAATCATTTTATATATACATTTTCAGTGGTGAAACAGGATGAGTGAGGGTGGACAGATAAGGGAATGCGATACAGTAATCACTCACTTTCGTCTGTGTCGTCATAGTTCAGTGACCCAGGACTTTGAAGATTTCAGATTAATAAATCATTTCTAAAACTGGTGTTTTAATAGCTTTTTATTATCCTAATTAAACTAAACTAAATAAAACCACAAATATTCTGTAATATGATAGATATCAACTATTTGAGAAATTACTTGTTATTGGCGGCACAACTCAGTGCGAGTGGACGGGTCTAATCCGTGTGCACACCACCATGCGTGTTCCGTGCGATTTCGTCGCCACAGTTCAGTGACCTACGGCTTCAAAATAATAAAATTAATAAATCGGTTCTAAAAAAAGGATTTTTTATAGCTCTTATTATTGTAACAATGTTGTTAAACTAAATATATAACCCAAAAATATATAATTTGATGTAAATCTAATATTTGAGAGAAATTTATGTTACTGGATCTAGCTTAAACACCAGCCTACTGTAGGGTGTAGACCTAGTCTGCATTCATACAGTAGGCACCCAGTGCCCTTAGTTTTGTCTGCGATTGACGTATTTATCCGCCGGTGGAAGAATAATCATGAAATTTACTATTTTTTTACTACAGCTGTGTTGTTATACAACAAGATGTCTCAGAGGCTTGCTAATAGTGCCTTATTACTGCCAAAAATTAAGCAATATTTTGCAAGAACTAGTAGCAGAAAATCAACCAGCACAGTCATACCCAGCACGAGCACAGCCGTACCCAGCACCGGTATAACAGCAGTCAGCACCAGCTCAGAAGCAGCAAAGCTGATGCAAACATCTAAGAACGTGTGTGGAGTGTACATTTAAAATAAGTGTTAAATTTAAGTGCATAGTATTAGTGTTCAAATCAAGGTTGCAGTACAGTAATTTTAGTGTAAAATAGTTTTCATAAACTGTATTGTATCAACATACAGCAGAACTACTTATCAATACAATGCTAACGGCATAATACAGTACAGTACGTACTTACTGTACAGCATTCACAACACCATGAGAATTCAAGATGGACATAACTCCAACAATAAAGTAAATAACTGTAACACAGTATTTTTTAGTAGAGTAGTAAATATATAGGTACAGTATATAATAATGCATTTTTGTTTACAAGAAAAGACACTGACGCAAACACCTTCTTGAAGGTCACCTCTTGCAACGAATCTAACGCGCCAATGCAGTGGGGGTTGGTCCCATATAGAGCGTTGAATCGAGCTTATACTGTACTGTCGCCTAGTATGTGGCGCTGACAGAGACGCTCCAGCTTGTGTTCAGTGATGTTACTTCTGCCTTGTTCCGCAACCTGTATAGTGGGTTGTTTCACCTCCGGCCTGCTCATGCTCCTCCTAAGCCGTCCTGGTCTTTGGACCAGGTTCTCTCCTTTCTCTCTTCTCCTCAGTTCAGGATTGTTTTTCTAAGGCTCTTTTCCTGTTGGCATTGGCCTTTGGGGATTGGGTCAGGGAGCATCATGCTCTCCTCCGGCGCAGGGGTTTCTGCTCCTTCGGTCCTGGTGGTAGGTTTGTTCAGTTGCAGCTATCTCCTTCTTTTCTGGCGAAGAATAAGACTGCTACTTTCCAGAGGGGCCCTTGGGTTGTTGATGCTTGGTTGGTCAAGCCGGGGGTTATCATGTTTTGCATCCGGTTGCGGCTCTCCGTCGTTTCCTGCCTTGGCGGCGGTTTTTGGCAACATGTCTTGGGTTAACATTTGGGCAGGGGGGTTTTGGAGGTCGAACAGGGTCCTGGCCACACGCTACCTTGTCAGTGTCCCTGGACATGGTAGGGCCTGCGTTGCATTGGGGCGGCAGTTGCAGCCAGTTGTCTCGACTTCGCGTTAAGGTGAGAGTTGTTGACCAAACCACACACCAGAAAGTGAAGGGACGAAGACGTTTCGGTCCGTCCTGAACCATTCTCAAGTCGATTGTCAGCCACGTTATTGTGACTCCTCGTCTGCTTGAGGAGATAGGACTGACTGTTTCCCAGGTAAGTCCCTGTATTTTTCCTTGTCTTTGGGTAGTTAGCTCCTGGGAGCCGATGTGGCTCCCCCCCAGAAAACCAGTGTTAAATGTAATGAAACGCCATTTTCTGGGTGAGACCTGGGAGCTTCCCTGCATCCCTCCCTCCCTCCCCTCCCCTCCCTCTGGTCAGTGATGTTTTTGCGTGTTTTAACATCCAGCCTAAGAACTGCCAGTTGGATCACCAGCACGGGGGTCTGGGGCTGTCCCTTCCCAGGGGATGGGGGGGTTGCATAGACATCGGCACGGCAACGTGATGATGATATGCTCATATGCTAATTTCCGTCGGAGAGTTCTGTCCACTCATTTGGCTTTCGGTAGCAATATTTTTATCAGAATAGGGGTTTGTTTTGGGGCTCCTATCTTTCTGGGTGCCTGACCCGGTCGATGACACATAGAATGTTCCTAACCACACAGGGATTTCTATAGGCCATTGCTCCTCGCACCTCTCTGAAGGGGCCAGGTTCTGGCTCATGGTCCCCGGTAGGCAAGGTTTCCATGCACTTTGATGCCAGAAAGCTAATAGTTACATATCAACCTTGATAGTTCTGGGGAGCCTCCGGATCTCGCCCAGAAAATGGCGTTTCATTACATTCAATGCTGGTTTTTAAGTACAGCTTTTTAGTCTGTGTGTATGATTGCATTTTGAGTGTTTTGTGCAATCTCCTGTGAATGCCTGTTGTATGGCAAACAGTTCAGTTTGGGCTAAAGATACTGGTCCTCCCAGTCTCTAATATGCCTGTTCGCTGTCCATGCAAAGAGCAGCACCAGCACTCAAATATTGTGTCCACCGATCCATCTATGAAGATGTGGGTGGCCCCTGATACTGCAGTGCTGCTCATTTGCTTTTCTATGTTACACCTTAGAATTGTTGGATCATAAGCAGCCTTTTTCATCAGAAGATGTTCTATTACTATTTTGAAGGTAGGCTCCTCCCATGGTGGGGAACAAGTGTAGTTTGGGTGTGGATGATCACATCCTCTATCAAGAATCATGCTTTTTTAACTGTAGCCTGAATAAGACTTCTCCTACTCTGGTGGGAGAAAAACCTCTGAATGTTCTAATGCCTATTTTATATGGTCTCAAAATGTCCTGATATGGACTTGCTGCACTAGCCAGCTGACGGCAGGGGTTGAAACAAAGATATTTTTACCTATTTATTTTAATGTGTTTGATTATTCTCTTTTTTTTCAGTAATACTGTATTATTAAATAGTGTGTAATGTGATATAATCATAATAAAATGTGAACCATCGCTATACTCTAAAGTATGGTGTGCATATTAGTGATTCAATTATGATGTTCATAAAACAATAAAAAAATATTTTTGCTGTTATTACACATTACACGCACGCACGCACACGTACGTACGTACGTACGTTATATATAAGTATCTACACATTTTGTTCATCCTAACTGTACAACTAAACTGGTACATGTCCAAACATCATAGTGGCCACCATACAATGTATGACAAGTTACACAGCTGCTAGCAGACAACACCACCTCACTCACCAAAATGGCTCCTCCCAGTATATTGTTTGCTGCTAGTCCAGACAATAACAATGGTCGCTACACACGGCCAGCTGACGCCACCTCCCTCACCAAAATTCTAAGCACATCACTAATTCTTGCTACATTGCTCCTATTATCAGAATCCCGGTCACTAAATTCTGTAAATGAATAATTTTCCACAAGTTTATTTTGTAAATGAACATGAGAAATCGTTTCAAGATTCTTATTAGATGGACCAAACAATAGCAGTGCACTGTGAACATCTTGAACAGCATTGTGTTCACTGATATCTGAACATTGTACACAGTCTTTATCACAGTCAGGCTCTTCTCTAATACTAACCTCGCTTAATAATAGCAGTTACATATATATTTTGACTTTAGGGTGCCGGTCGGCCGAGCGGACAGCACGCTGGAGTTGTGATCCTGTGGTCCTGGGTTTGATCCCAAGCGCCGGCGAGAAACAATGGGCAGAGTTTCTTTCACCCTATGCCCATGTTACCTAGCAGTAAAACAGGTACCTGGGTGTTAGTCAGCTGTCACGGGCTGCTTCCTGGGGATGGAGGCCTGGTCAAGGACCGGGCCGTGGGGACACTAAAGCCCCAAAATCATCTCAAGATAACCTCAAGATAGGCAATGCTGTGGTCACAAGCTGAACAGCAGTGCTGTTAGCTCATGCTGCGTGCACCAGCCTTGGCTGCTCACTCAGTACTGAGGCCTTCACACCCGGGAAGGTTACTCAAATTTTTTTTGTTTAAATGACGTCTGTTTACTAGAGCCCTGAGAAAGCTGATGTGGACCTCCTTGTAGCCGCTGGACTTTTAAATCTTACAATGTACTTTAAAATGTATGTATATGATATGCGCTTTGCAGGCAGTTAGACCAAAATTGTATATATACAATTTGCGCTGTTAAAAGGGTTAATGCACTACTTATTTAAAAAACATTTTTTATTTCTTTCCAGATGGATGAAATGAAAACATATTAAATAAGGATGAGTACATTTGTATCTGCCCAGTAACAGGATGAACAATCATAAAGACAGCCTTGTCACAACAAAGATGACTTCAGCAAGCTACTTGGGGCTTTATAATTAATTACTACAATGCATTATGTCTCCTTATACATACCTACATTGTTTCCTGTTGTATAAGGTTTGCATTCTTATTAGTTTCATAACCAGACTGTATGTGAACACTTGAATAGTAGTCAAAATAACTTTTCAATATGCATACTGATTGTTTAATAGTCAAATAAAGATTATTATACTCTTAATTAGTCTTTTAAGTGTATCACTAATTTTTGGGTATGGTAGCAGCTTTAACACTTAAGCTGCTCAGGGCCTTAAGGGCATCAACACTGCCAAGCACAAAAAAAAAGTCATAAAAATGTTCATTTGTGTTCACTGATCACAGCGGGGAAAAAAAAAAATCGTATGTGGCATATTTTGGCCGCAATAGGGCGGGGAAGTCTGCCAAAAAAGAGGCGTTGACAGAACAAGCGTCGGAGGTGGTCTGCTCCATCCGAGTTGTCAGGCAGGAGTTATCACAAAGATATTACCTAATTGTGTCCTCACTTGAACGAACTACATGGGGCAAAGCCGATTCGTTCCAGTGCGGAATTCGTTCTATCCGTCTGGCCCCAAAAAGAACCCTCCTATCCCATCTTCCCCCCCCCCCCAAATTGTCAAATATTAAAGGGGACTCCCGGTTTGCCTTCTCATTCGGAGTGCAGTGGCAGGCGTCGTTCCACCGGGCACTTAATGGAGCGGTGCTCCATTAAGTGCCCGGTGATACACGTGTCACCCACGGGCAACACGTATATGATCAATACGTAACCTCACCAGAGCCGTTTCCCCACCGCCGGTTATGGTGGTATGAGGAAGCGTAAGGGCTACTACTCCTAAGAGCACAGTGTGTTTGTTACCAGTAACAGAAGACCAACAACCCTGCCAACGGGCAAGTTTGGAGGAACGAATAACTGGGTAAAAGTCGGAATAAGAAATACCTTTACGGGAGATGGGACGAGTGGATAGAGTCCTTAACGGCAGCGTCTGCATGCTCATTTAGGGACACGCCAATATGGCTGGGAACCCAACAAAACTCCACTATCTTAAATCTACTGGAGATAAGAAACAGCCAATGTTGAATCTCAACTGCCACTGAATTGCCACATGAACCGGACTCCAGAGCCATGAGGGCTCCAGGGCCATGAGAGCCATACTGTCCCGTCTTTAGTACTGCTCAGTACTCACTTCCCCATTCAGAGCAGAAGAGATTGCTGAAATAGGAGGAGTACAGAGAACATATACGGGATACATAAATGAGATAAAGCATCTAAATTATTGGGATCGCCTCAAAGCTCTCCGAATGTACTTGGTAGAAAGACGAAGGGAGAGATATCAAATAATATACACGTGGAAAATACTGGAGGGCCAGGTCCCAAATCTGCACAGTAAAATAACAGCATACTGGAGTGAACAATATGGAAGAAAATGCAGAATAGAGCCAGGGAAGAGCAAGGGTGCCATAGGCACAATTTGAGAGAACTGTATAAACATCAGATGTCCGCGGTTATTCAACACACTCCCAGCGAGCATAAGAAATATTGCCGGAACAACAGTGGACATCTTCAAGAGGAAACTAGATAGTTTCCTCCAAGGAGTGCCGGACCAACAGGGCTGCAGTGGGTATGTGGGCCTGCGGGCTGCTGCAAGTAACAGCCTGGTGGACCAAACTCGCACGAGTCAAGCCTGCCCTCGGGCTGGGCTTGGAATAGAAGAACTCCCAGAACCCCATCAACCAGGTATCAACCAGGGCACTGCGAGAGTCGACTACAACAACAAAAGAGGATTGACAGTAAGAAAGCAGTTGATGAAGAGCATACAGAATAGCATAAAGTTCTGCCATGAAGATGCTAGTCTCTGGAGGCAGACAATACATACAGGTGTGGTAAGGAAAAACAACAGAGTAACCTACACAGTCTGCAGACTTAGACCCATCGGTGAAGACGGAAACAGAGCAGAAGTGTTCCAGGAAAAGGCGTTTCAGAACTGTAGGAGGGGTAAAAGCTTTAGTCATGTTGGTCAAGGTTTTACAAAATTTAGGAAGGGGGACCCTCCACGAGGGCAAGGATGGAATGACGCTAGGGGAAATATTGGCAACACGAACCGAAATTGCATTTTGTAAGCGAGACAACCATACAGAAAGAGGTATGTGGCGAGGGAGGAAACAGGAACCACAGGAGGGGTAAAGGTCAAGGTACGACATAAGCAAAGATGAGGGTGTTGTGAGGACCGTGCAGGGTAGTGAAGACAGTAAGTACATGATCGAAGTAACGATCATAGCGATCCTGTAGGGACATTATGCCAGTTTCCACATACAGGCTTAAGGTAGGAGTCGAATGAAAGGCACCAGAGCTGAGGTTTAACCCAATAAAGGTGCAGAGCGTCGAGACAGCATAGGATAGAAAAAGCAGAAAAGCAAGCAGGGCAATGATGACCGAGTTTAGATAGAACAAAAGAGGAGCGTGCGTCTATCAGCTCCCCAAGAAGTATGGGACGATCTTAAATAAGTTGATGTCCTTTTGAGCATTCAACTCGGAGATACAGTAAGAGAGATGCTGTGACCAAGACAAACGAGTGTCAAAGATTAGCCCCAAAAGCTTAGCAGAATCTTTGTACAAAAGGGGATGGCCACAAAGTGACGGGAATGAAGAACGACCTGCTTCCGAGTAAGTCATAACACAAGTTTTAGTTGTAGAGAACTTGAAGACATGATTGGTGGCCGAAGATGACACGGCATCGATCGTACATTGAACCCGCTGTTAAAGGAAAGGGGAATCATCACCTCGACAGCAGAGGGTAAGATCGTCGACATAGAGAGAGAAGATGCCAGAAGGAATGGAGGAAAGATCATCATTGAGGACAACCAGGAAAAAAAGTGCTCGGAACACTACTTTGGTTTACACCTTCGAATTTACAAAAAGAGGCAGAGAGTGGTACCAAGCCTCACTAAAGGAACGACTAGAGAGGAAGAGAGGGAGATTACCACAAAGGGCAAAAGAACGAAGTTGGGACAGAATATGGTATTTCCAGGTGGTGTCGTATGCCTTTTCCAGGTTGGAAAGGACAGCAACAACGGAGGCCTTCGCAGCAAAAGCAGTACGACTATAGACCTCCAAGTTTATCATGAAAAGACACCATAGTAATGCTGCGGCACTTGCGAAAACCAAATTGAGATGGTGACAGTGTTCCAAGAACCACATCAGACGGACATTGATCATACGTTCAGAGAGTTTGCTGATGCAACTCATGAGGGCAATGAGGCGGAAGTCCTTAGGAGATGTCCCTAGAGACCCCAGTTTACGAATAGGGAGAACAACCACATTGAGCCAGGCCTCGGGGGACAGACGACGATTCTCAGATATGGGTATTCAGTAAATACTGAGATGTGCATGGAGGGAGATGGTGAAGCATCACACAATGAATGTCATCTGAACCCGCTGCCGTAGAACTACAGAGGGCTAGAGCAGACTGAAGTTCGGAGAGAAGGGATCATTATAGGGAAGTCGGAGATGAGTGCAGAAATCTAAGGGATTAGATTCAAGAATGGGCTTGCGAAGAAGGAAGGATTGAAGAAGAACTGGAGCCAACAGTTGAAAAGTGGGAACCCAGTTCAGTCGCGACCGTCGCTGGATCACTGGATTGGGCAAGAAAGGAATAACCACGAAAGTGACCAGAACGAGTACCAAGCATTGACTCCTGGAGACACACAGAGTGGTGAAAACTGTGTTATCAGAAGTTCTAGTTCATGGAAGTTAGCATAAAAGCCATGAATATTCCATTGAAAAAAAAAACATTGTCAGAAGGAGAACAATGAAGAAATAAAGGCAGAGAAGAACACAGCATACTAAAGAAAATCAGGATCAGGATTAGTGAAATCAGGGTTAGGCGGGCAAGGGTAAATTGAGCAAGGACAATAAAGTTATGGGCGTGGGAGGACAGACCAGAGACGGACGGACAGGATCCAGAGCAGGAGGTGGGGAGGGGGGTAGAGAGGAGCAGTCAAGGGAAGAATGGGAAGGGGAAGTGCACCTCGGCAAGGACAGCAACTGAGAGAGAATCGAGGGCTAAAGGAACTTTCATAATCGAGACGGGGCTCGACCACTGAAATGGGAGGGGAAGGCAGTGAGAGTGTCAGAGGTGGAGGGCAGGGGAAGCAGCGACGTCTTCTTATCTACCGGGGGAGGAAGAGAGAGAGGAGCCAGGCTTACGTTTCTGACTTAGAGACAGATGTCCCAGCAACAGCGGACTAGACAATAGATTCTCATTGTCTCAACAGGAGAAGGAGAAAGAGAGTGAACAACAGGAAGATTGCTAGGAGGAGGATGGACAACAGCCTGGACAAACAGGTGACGTGGAGGGCCAAGAGACGGGAGGGCTGTCTTCTCAGTTTTCCTAAGGCTGCTTTGGCTTTGTTTAATCAGTCCCTTACGTGAATTTTTATCCCTGTTCTATTGATCAGGAGTCCCAGTATTCTGCCTATCCCCGATTATTGGATCGGACCGTTATCAAGGATAATGGGGTCCGAGTTTCTTTTTTTAAATGTGCATTATCTGGAACTTTTGTTTGTTTGTGCTAATTTTCCATTGCTTTTCAAAAGTTGTTTATGAATTCAATTGCTGCCTTGGTCTTGTTGGCTAGTAGCGACTTCGATGGTCCTGGTTGGCATATTACAGTATTTGTATGACATCGCAAGCGTATGCGATGTATTCTCCATGCTGGAGTTGGGGTAAGTCAGCTGTATATATGTTGAATAGAGTGGGGGAGAGGTAGCTTTCTTGTAGTACAGTACTCCACTTTTCAGTTCTATTAAGTCACCCAAGTTTCTGCTGATATTGAGCCTAGCAGTTCTGTTGTCTATAAAGCTGCAGAGTAGCAGTAAATCTGTGGAAATCCTAGCTCAGATATCTCATATTTTAGGCCTGTGTGCCAAACTTTGTCGAAGGCTTTCAAAACATCTCTAAGCACTACATTACACTGATCGTTTTTCAACATTGTGTTGGCTATGTGCTCGAAGATCAGGGCCAAGATTCACGAAAGCACTTACACAAATACTTACGAACGTGTACATCTTAACTCAATCTTTGACGGCTTTGGTTACATTTATTAAACAGTTTACAAGCATGAAAACTTCCCAATCAACTGTTGTTAGTTATAAACAGCCTCCTGGTGCTTCGAAACTCATTAACTGTTTAATAATTGGAAACAAAGC